GTTCTTTATATCTCAAGATTTGTTTGATCAAAGAATGTTTTTCTTTTTGCGGACCACCTTTAGCGCATTAATATATGGGAGACAATGTCCACGCCTTCTGCTCGATAGCTAAAACACGAACTGCAATAATGGACCATAACAAAACACGGTCTCAGACAAAGGAAAACTAAAAAGGTGCGAAACCCGAGATTTCTTCTATATTGTCCAATATGAGAATTATACAAATTCACATACAAAGCACAACGTTTTATTATACAAATTGAATTTGTCCTAACACTAATTATTATCAACGTAGCAGAAAGTGCATTAGGAAAGGGAAATAAAACAATTATTCTGAAATTGTGACAAATGTTCACCTATGTAGCCTCGAGCTCCTCAATTAGGCAAATGTAAATCTGCAATAATTATAACTGCAATCCATTTTCAGACGTCAAGCAGTGTGCTTGCGTGTGTGTCTGTGTGTTGAATTTTTACAATAATCATCAATTTTCGGTCATGTCGCTAGGATGTATGTAGTGTGGCAGTCTATAGCGATGCCTAGCACTGGTGCGTCATGCCGCACACATGTAGCATGATGTCTCACCCAGTCACATTATCCTGACACCAGTCCTAGCGCTAACCTCTTATTTCTGAGCGTATTACCATATATATATATATATATATATATATATATATATATATATATATATATATATATATATATATATATATATATATATATATATAGATATATATATATATACATAGTGTATGCATGTAGCATGATGTCCCAGCCAGTCACGTTATCCTGACACCAGTCCGACCAGTCATAGCACTAACCTCTTAATTCTGAGCGTATTACCATTTTTATAATTCTTGATGATGACATAACCGGGGTTCAAACCCGCGACTTTCCGCATCTGAGGTTTGAACCCTGTACGAGTCCCAATGTGCTTGACATTAAAATATGCATATCAAATATATTATGAAATTTGGATCCATCTGGGTGAATCTGTTTTTGCAAAAAAAGGAGAAAAAAAATTTTAAATGTTTTTTTTTCTTCAGGGGTGTAAAATCCGGCCTGTTTTGCTGTACAATTGTATCAGAGTGGAAATTATTTTTCCATCACTTGGCAACGATAATAAAATAAAAGATTTAACCAACAGAATTATGTAATTCAGATACAAACTCTGACGCTTCTGTAAGCATGGTAAATTACATTTGGAAATGTTCAAAACTATCACTTGTCATTCTCTTTCCAAAACGGTGTGTTGGATCAAGCTTTCTTTCCCTTCACAAATCTGAGACAGGTTCAGAGGAAGTTGTCTAAACTGCATGCCATGCTGGAATGCTCTCTGTTAAAATGATCAATATATACTAGCAAATGTCCTGATTAAATGTACTCGACTTTAAGCAAATAGGTCTAGACACCGCAAGTTTCGTCATGTTAAATTAACCAATCAGAATGTCACAAACAGTTTGGAACCATTTCATGCGAAAAAAATATCATATACGAACGAAAGCTAATGAGTAATTGTGTGTGTGTGTGTGTGTGTGTGTGTGTGTGTGTGTGTATATATATATATATATATATATATATATATATATATATATATATATATATATATATATATATATATATATATATATATATATAAATTATGACTTTCGATATCTTCCATCTTAAAAACAGTAAATATGTGTGTAAATCCTATTTGTCGAATAATTGGATCGATTTCAAAGCATTTCAAAATTATTTGAAATTTTTGTCAGTTAATTTATTCAAGTATTCTAAACTTAAACATTCCAATGTTGTTAAATAAACCAAGCATCATAAGAATCGATAATATCTAATGACATCAATGATTTATTACAATCATATTTGTACCAGTATACATTTCATTACTTACAACCATATTTATACAGGTATTCACTTCATTGATTACAATCATATTTATACCAGTATATATTTCATTGCTTACAAACACATTTATACAAGTATAGCCTACACTTGATTGCTAACAATCATATTTATACTTGCATTTTTTTAAAAAATATTTACCGAAAACTGATGTATATGTATTTCGTGTACTCAGAAGAGATTTGTATTTAGTACCCTACTGACTTTATTTCCTCACATTTCTTACTGTTGAAATTGAAAGCAATAAATGACAAGCGAGATAACTTTTGCAATGTCGGTTCTTCACAATGACAACTCCTCAAGCTGTTGAAGCATGCATTTATGACTCCGAATAGTTTTTTTTTTTTATTGTAGTTGTTCTGAAGCAGCAAAATCGTGAAGAAAGTCAATACATTCAATCCAGTAGTTTGTTTTCATCAACCTGTACAATGCCTTTGAAGTAATTATTCAAAACGCAAATAGCGTCAGTAGTTCCCATTCATTTCTCGAAATAAAATTTGCCATCTGAGAGTTTGTCATTTTCCTTGTCCCAATTAAAACTTCTTTCAATTAAAATAATGGTAAATAATTTTGGAAAGTAACTGAGTAAGGTAAGAGTTATATACTTACTGTATTACAAGCATATCTAGAATTATGCAAAGATCAAATTACCCCTAAAATGACCACTATCCAATACTGTGTGAAATATTTTACATGTATATGGCTTATGTATATGGCCTAGGTATAGGATATAGGCACATGGCTAAAGTATATGGCCTAGGCATATTGCCTAGATATATGGTCTAGGTATATGGCATGGGTATATGGCCTAAGCATTATATTACCTAGATATATGGTCTAAGTATATGGCCAATGTATGTGGCCTAGGTACATGGCCTAGGTATTATGTTGCCTAGATATATGGTCTAGGTATATGGCATGGGTATATGGCCTAGGCATTATATTGCCTAGGTCTAGGTATATGACCAAGGTATGCGGCCTAGGTACATGGTCTAGGTACATGGCCTAGGTATTATGTTGCCTAGATGTATGGCCTAGGTATATGGCCAAGGTATATGACCTAGGTATATGGCATAGGTATAGGGTCTAAGTAAATCAATTCCGTTTCTGTGTCTAGAGATTTTTTTATTTCTTTTGTAATTTCATCTCATGTAAGTTCTTTTTTTAAAGAAATGGTACTTGATCTAATAAATCAATTTCACGTATATATGATATACAGTGTATGCCCTCATTTGAAACGACTTTGTCATACGTATGCATTGTACTCAGATGGTGAAAAAAAAATGCGAAGGCGAAGCACTCTAAGCAGATGTCTTATGGATGTTTTGCCAAGGGGAAGCACTCTAAGCAGACTTCTTGTGGCTGTTTTGCTAAGGTGAAGCACTCTAAGCAGACGTTTTATGGATGTTTTGCTAAGGCGAAGCACTCTAAGCAGACGTCTTATGGATGTTTTGCTAAGGCGACGCACTCTAAGCAGACGTCTTATGGATGTTTTGCTAAGGCGAAGCACTCTAAGCAGACGTCTTATGGTTGTTTTCCTAAGAAACAAATTCAAGCATTTCCTGGAATTAGAACTTTTCAAACTAGATAACTCTTGTATAATTTCATTGGCATAAAAACTTTGTCTGTATTAAAACTTTCGTATGAAATTTTCTATTCTTTAAAGTTTAATAATATGTTTCTATCAATTATGTTTTGGTTTGAGAAACTGCTAACTAATCCACATAACGATTAAAGTTATCACTAAATTTACCATTAAACAATACTTTATCTAACCTCGGACCTATTATAAGTACCTTTTTTAAAAAAAACAAAAAAAAAAACACTACCTAAGTTTCTTTATGAGGACTTTTCAATCCCCATGACCATATAGAGATCTCAAATGGGCAACGATTTAATATTGAATTTATGAAACTCGTTGAATAATATCCAGCGTTTGCTCGCCAAGGCTCGCAAAGCTGGATATTATTCAACGAGTTTCATAAATTTAATATTAAATCGTTACCCATTTGAGATTCTTTTTATCAAATAGTTTTTATTTCAGTGGAAATTATTTAGATAGATAGAAGAACGAATAATTTCGTTCTTTCTGACAGACGGTGTACCTTTCATTTGTTGTGCATAAAATATAGTACCAAAAAAGCGGAACTGGTAAAAATAGATTGTACTGTTTTACAAACTATAAATCATAGAAAAAGCTTCCATCAGAGTAAACAGAACATTTTATAACCACAAAATCATTTTTAAAGCAGAATTATAAATGCGATGTGATGCTGCCACATTGTTTGATACGGTGCACAGCAAGCCGACAGAACGTACGTGTACCCTAAAAAGTGTTTAAAAACGTAACATTGTTGCGCTTTTCATGTGAAATAGGATTACCGGATGCAAAATGTCCCACATTTACTGGAATGCATTTGTGACCTGATATTTGTAGTGTTTGATTTGAAAAATGGACTGTACAGAAGACGTCAACAAATTTTATTTTACTTCCCATATATGCTACGTAAAGATGCTTTTATTGGATAAAGATCTGTTAGTTAGGAGACCCATTCATGTCCAGATCATTCTCCGACCAGAGGTGAGTTTGTTTACGTCGTTAATTTAACATTTAAACCACGCTTGTATATACGGTGGATTCTATATCTATGTTACTGATATACGTACCCCACCCACCCACCCCGCTACCCCTTAGTTTTATTCGTTATTGTCGTTCTTGTCTTGTAGTTTTATGCTATTTTTCTTATGATGATATTGATAAACATGACATAATGAACCCCTGTGGGAGTAGCATATCCATATTGAGACAGCCGATAGGATATTTCCTCAATTTCCATTTGCGGGTCGTGTTAAAAAATGGCCGCCAAAAAATGTTGATTCAGATGAAAACATTCCAGAAGGCGGGGTTAAAAACGTTTTCCCACGGTAGCAGCCAATCATTAAAGACACTAATGCACAATAATTTCATTATCTCATCTTGACCAATCAGAATCACATAAAGTGATATGTTCACACGTATAATATCAAAAATATGAACCTGCACGCACTGTAGGAAAACAATACCGACTATGTGATAAAGTAAATTCTCTAACAACCATCTGACCACTCTGGTGACCTAGTGGTCAGAGCGTCCGCCTCATATGCGGGAGGTCGTGAGTTCGATCCCGGGTTGAGTCATACCAGAGACTTACAAAAATGGTACTAGCAGCTGTCTCGCTTGACGCTCACCATTAAGAGGTTAGTGTTAGGACTGGTCGACCTGGTGTCAGGATAATGTGACTGGGTATGCTATCGTGCTACATGTCTTCCGCATGATGCCCCAGTGATAGACATCACTATAAACTGCCACACTACGGACATCGTAACGATATGACTGAAAAATTGTTAAAGCTACGTTAAAAATCATAATCACATCACATTTAACAACCATCTATACAGGATCATAATAATAGACAAAATTATACATTTCTCAAGATCTGGTATTTAAAATGCCATAATGTATAATACTATTGTCCTCAGATTTGTTTTAATTTAGATAACTATGTATTTAATTGAAAATTTGTTGTTATCAAGTTATATTATATATTGATGATGTCTCCGGTGACAAAAAATAATACAGTTAAGGATTTTTTTTTTAGGATTACAAGTATTTTTAAAAAATTTGTATCATTCCTATCTCAATTTGTATTTAACCCTGATATTCTTTAAAAAAAATAGATATAATGTACATTATAAGTCATCCAATGTTATGCATATATACCCATACACATACAGTCAAGCTTATATACCAACACACACATATATGCATGCATGCATCCATATATATATATATATATATATATATATATATATATATATATATATATATATATATATATATATATATATATATATATATATATATATATATATATATATATATATTCATGCATATATATACACACACGTACACACATACAAGCATGCATATATACCCACACACACATATATGCATGATTACATACCAACACACACACACACACATATACGTGCATGGATATATACCCACACACACACACATACATACATACATGCATGCATATATACTCACACACACATACATGCATGCATGTATACCCAAACACACATAGTCATACATATATACCCCACACATTTACAAGCATACATGTAAGCATATAAACCCACACACACATATATGCACGCATATATACACACACATACACACATAAATGCATGCATATATACCCATACATACATACATGCATGGATACATACACACACATACATGAATACATATATACCCGCACACACTTACATGCATGCATATATACTCATACACATATACATGCATGGATACATACCTACACACACATGCATGCATATACACCCCCACATGCATGCATACATACCCACACACACATGCATGCATGCATGCATATATGCCCAAACCGCACATAGTCATGCATATATACACATACACACATACAGTCATGCATATATATCCATACATATAGTCATGCATATGTATATACCGAAACATATACACGTATGAAGGGGCCCCGAGTGGCCGAGTGGTCTAAAGCGCTCACCGTTACGGATCACTGCAATCTCACCTCTGTCTGTGTGAGTTCGAGTCTAAGATTCGGCGAATGTGGATATGTGAGAATGCTTGCTAGTAGCTTCTCTTGGGTCGGTAGTTCTTTCCGGTGATTTCCCGGTTTCCTCTTCCGCCATTACTACTGGCCACCATGTGTAGCCTATCGTGTGCTGAAAAATGGCGTTAAGCCCCAGAGCAACAACTATACACACATGCATATATACCCATACACATCCAGCCAGGCGTATATACACACATATACAGTCATGCATATATATCCATACACACATGAATGAATATATGCCCTCAGACACATGCATAAATATATACCCATACACATACAGTCATGCATATATACCCATATATGTAGGCATGCATACATATCTCCACACACACACATCATGCATACATATATACCCATACACATACAGACGTGCATATATACCTATACATATAGTCATGCATATATACCCACACACACACATACAGTCATGCATATATGCCCATACACACCCAGCCAGGCATATATACCCACACACACATACAGTCATGCATATATGCCCATACACACCCAGCCAGGCATATATACCCACAAACACACATACAGTCATGCATATATACCCACACTCACATGCATGCATATTACCCATACACATACAGTCAAGCATACTGAGACAGACGTATGACTATATAAAAGTAGCAAGGAAAGTTGCTTGGCAAAATCAGTCTGGTTCGTTAGAACTCAAGGAAGCTTGCATCGTATACATCAGGGGTGCACAAAACGTCGATCGCGATCGACCGATCGATAGCGAAGGTAGTGTGAGTAGATCGCGTAGCATTAAAAAAAATAGACGTTGGCCTATATATGTTTTGCATTTTTGGGGTATGTAGATCATTTTGGCTTGGTCATTTTATAAGTAGCTCGCATGCTGAAAATGTGTGCACCCCTGGTCTACAGGTACGCTACCGTCTGCGTACAAATTTCTATACAGTATAATGATTTTTAATGTTAAGATGTTAAAAATAAAAGTTCAGTCTAAGATCAGAACATTCGCAATATTGGATTATTGTAATATTTCTTTATTATTCTGTAATGTAATGTATTGGAAAGTTTAATTATTTGAAGAACGTATACTTACTTTAAATTTTTATAATTGATTTTTTGTTAAGGGCGACGTTCGCTACCAATTTCATACTCAGCAATAATTAATTTAAAAATGAGATACTCTCTAAATAGAAGAGATTAAAATGTTAGTAGTTTATATTACAGTTAGTAAAATATATATTTTACCAATCGATTACGGTATTAATCTGAAGAAAAAAAATTCTGTATGATATTCTAAAAGGCAGAAATTATACAAATGTATTATGTTCGTAAGCGAAAGAAATCGTATTTTGTATGTATCTCTTTTATTCGTAGTTAATGTTAATGCAGATTGATATTGGAATGCAATTTTGTATGTTGAGTGTTTCAATAAAGATCAGTCTAGTTCGTCAGAACTCAAAGAGGCTTGTATCGTTTACAGGATCTCGCGTATCTCTCGCATTAACCAGAGCTTTCCCAGATGTAAATTAGTCGTATCTACACCGTTATGGGTGACACCTGCTCTTAAGAGATTTCGAACTATCTTCTCTTCCCTATCTCTAATCATGAGCCAAGGCATCTCTTAAAGATACTAGTGTTTCATTCTCATAGCAGGGAAAAAGATGATTATGATAAAATTCCTTATCATAATACTTAATATATACCCATACACGCATGCATATATATATATATATATATATATATATATATATATATATATATATATATATATATATATATATATATATATATATATATATATATATGCAGCCAGCCATGCATATATACCCATGCACATACAGCCATGCAGCACCTCTGTCTGCGTGGGTTCGAGTCTAAGATTCGGCGAATGTGGATATGTGAGAAAGCTTACCAGTAGCTTCTCGTGGGTCGGTGGTTCTTTCCGCGGATTCCCCGGTTTCTTTCTCCACGTTTAATTCTGGCCACCATGTATAGCCTATCTTGTGCTGAAAAAATAGCGTTAAGCCCCACAACAGAAACAACAACCACAACAACAGCCATGCAGATTTACCCATATACATATTGTTATGCTTATATACCCATCCGATTACAGTCATGAATATATAGCTAAACACATACAACCATATATATATACACATACAGTCATGCATATTTACCCCTACACATAAAGCCATGCGACAAGAATCTCTCAGATCTCTCAAATTAAGTACTAGCTCTGTGTTCCGCTAATCGGGTACAGTTTTTGTCGTGTTTATCCGTAGAAAGCAAAATGTGTATCGTTATATTTACTAATGTCTGTAATGAGAAGAAAATGTTGAAATGTTTAAAATTGCATAACAACGTAAGATACCTTTCGTTAACTTTTTTTCTATTTTGAAATAAGATCGGGTCATATATATATATATATATATATATATATATATATATATATATATATATATATATATATATATATATATATATATATATATATATATATATATCCTTAACAATCAAATTAGCAGTCTTCTACCGTTACCTCTCCCATAACTTTCGTCTGAATTAATGGCTTATCAATCAAATTTAAAATTGCAATATTTTTGTATGTTGCGATGTTAACTATCCAACATGAGCTAATTTTAAGTCACCAGTACCCACAGCCGGAAAGAATTCTCCACAGAGTAAAAACGCTCAGGTAGAAAATCGATATTGAGCCGAATTGATGATTTAATCTGTCTATTACGTGACCGCGAGAACAACCCAATCATACATTACTAAATGTAATTAGTTTCGAGGAAGTGTCATCTCATTAAATTACACCTGAAACTGACACCGTAATCCAATACTATTAGCAATTAACAAGTGGCTTGAACTGACAGAAGTAAAATGGAGCAATCTAAAATGGGAAATTTATTACCCAAAAATTCATATGAAACACTTTTTAACATGGTAGATGTTTGGGAAAATGTTACAGTCATAAAAAGAATAAAGTACGCTTTGAGCAAATGTACAAGCTTTTTTTCCATCAACGACAAGTGTAAGGATTCTGCAGATGTCAAATGCAGGAGACCAGTGTTGATGCAAATAACGATGTCATGTGCGGTGATAATCAGGAAAAATAAAATAATGATATCAATGCACTGTAATGGGAAAAGCTTTTGAATGCAAGTGTAAATGCATGAAAAGATTAAGGAAATGAACTGTATAACGAAGTTAGATGATTTTTCTCTGTATTCAAATGCATCGTTCAAATTATGATATTGACTCATGATACAATCATGAATTATCGATCGAATCAGTTTATATCGAGTTTCGATCGAGCTTAGATCGAGCTTATATCGAGCTTAGATCGAGCTTAGATCGGGCTTATATCGAGCTTAGATCGAGCTTAGATCGACTGAGTTCATATTAAAGTTTATCTTCAAATCACAACCGCTCAGGTGTCCTAGTTGTTAGAGCGTCCTCCTCGGATACGGGAGGTCGTAGGTTCGATGCCCGGTCGAGTCATACCAAAGAGTATAAAAACTGGTACTA